CAACTTCAGTTTACCTCATAAACAAATTACCTTCTCCTGGGTTACAGTACAAGTCACCATATAAGATGCTCTTCAATCGACCTGCAGATTATGCTACACTTCGCACATTTGGGTGTTAATGTTTTCCCTTCCTAGGCGATACAAGGAAAGACAAACTTTCTTCAAAATCGGTGCTATGTGTTTTCTTGGGCTATGGAACCCAACAAAAAGGATTTCGGTGCCTTAACCCACAAATTGGTAAAGTATATATCTCTCGCCATGTTCGGTTCAATGAAGATGTGTTCCCATTTGCTCAACTACTTACAACTGGTCTTCTTAAACCATCCATATTGCTTGAAGATTGGGTTGCACCAATTGAACCTACATTACCTACATCTCGTGGTCTGCTCCTACCTCCATCGTTGTTACCTACACCACCAACTGTTACCACAGTCCCACCATTCCTATATTGCCACCAACACCTCCAATTGCTTATAGTCCCACCAATTCCAATTCCCATTCCCATAGTGCCACCAAAACCTGTCATCACTTATCAAAGGCAACACACTGTACCCTCATAACCTAGTGCTACAAACCTTTTGACTCATTGCCATGTCCTAACTCAACCCAACCACCATTAGAACCAACATTAGAACCAGATCAGTACAACCGCCATTAGAACCAGAATAGTACATCCCATGGTGACTCAACTTCGTGATGGTACTCTTTATTGAAGATTTAATGGAGGAATCAATGGAGGAAAATCTTTCAGTAATTGATGTTGTTACTATTATTGAAGATTTGGTGTTACTAGAGGAATCAATGGAGAAAAATCCTCTTTGTTTCCTAATTTTCTTTCCATTTTGATAATTTATCTCCTATATAAAAGAGCCTCCACCATTGTAGTGTGTATGAATTGAAATAGTATTATAAAAGTGATGTAGCCCTTTGGGCTCTTTGTGCCGTGGATGTAGGCCCTAGTGGCTGAACCACGTAATTTCTGTGTGTTCTAGTTGTCTTATTTATCTCTTCACTTTTGTTTTATGCTTTACAACATGGTATCAGAGCATAATTTCTCTTTTTAGGTTAGGACCCCTATTTTGAGGTATTCCCTTAGCTTCTGAAATGTTGCTAAGGGTTTCTTGGTATTATTTATGACTTGTTTAGGCTGTCGATTTGTTCGTCAGTAATGTTCTTCGTCTTTTCCGTGTCTCCGACAGTTTTTATCGACTTGTTTGGGCCGCCGGTGTGTTCGGTAGCATTGTCTTCGCCTTTGCCGTGTCTCGAGCAGTTTTTTGTTGACTTGTTTAGGCTGCCGGTGTGTTCGGTAGCATTGTCTTGGTCTTTTCCGTGTCTTCGGTAGTTTTTATCAACTTGTTTGGGCTGCCAGTGTGTTCGGTAGCATTGTCCTCGTCTTTGCTGTGTCTCTTACAGTTCTTTGTTGACTTGTTTGGGATGCGGTGTGTTCGGTAGTTTTGTTCTTCGTCTTCTTTATTCTTTTTTCTCTCTTCATCATTCATATTTGTTGTTACTTGTCATCTCAATGGCAAGTTGGGCATTCATGCTCCAACTTGAGGGTGAGTATTAAAGATCTAATGGAGGAATAGAAAATCTTTTAGTAATTGATGTTTCCTATTATTGAAGATTTGGTGTTACTGAAGGAATCAGTGGAGAAAAATCCTCCTTGTTTCTTATCTTCTAATTCTTTCCATTCTCATAATTTCTTCTCCTATATAAAGGAGCCTCCACCATTGTATTGTGTATGAATTGAGAGAGTATTATAAAAGTGATGTAGCCCTTTGGGCTCTTTGTGTCGTGGATGTAGGCTCTAGTGGCTGAACCACGTAACCACGTTCCAGCTTCTCAAGCCCAGAATGTCGTCGGATGCAAATGGGTTTATAAGATCAGACGACATGCTGATGGCTCTATAGAACGACACAAGGCCAGACTTGTTGCAAAAGGTTACCATCAACAATATGGGCTGGATTTTGACAAAACAATTAGCCCGGTTGTTAAACCCCTTACTATTTGACTTGACCTCTCTCTTCCCATAAATCGATGCTGGCCTATTCGTCAACTTGACGTTAAAAATACCTTACTACATGGCATTCTTCATTAAACTGTTTATATGAAGCAACCACTAGGTTTTAAAGACAAGGATTTTCCTCATCATGTTTGTCGTTTTCATAAATCCGTTTATGGGTTGCGACAAGCACCAAGAAAATGGTTTGATGGCTTTAGTGCTGCACTATTTGAACTCGAATTTGTTCAAAGCAAAACTGATGCGTCTATGTTTCTCCACTATGCCGACCATGATATCACTATTCTCCTTGTCTACGCGGACGATATCCTCATCACTGGTTCTAGCAATGCTTTCATCTCAACAGTCCTCAGTCACCAAACTGCACGAGAACTTTGAGATTAAAGACCTTGGGTCATTACACTACTTCCTGGGGATTGAAGTTTACCGTGATTCTCGTGGCATCCAAATGAGTCGAACAAAATATGCTCTCAGCCTTCTAAAGAAAGCTAATTTCCTTCTAGCTAAACCATGCTTATCACCCATTATTGTATGTTCTAAAGTATCCTTATATGATGCTGGTGACCTTGTTAATGCCACATCCTATCATACTCTCGTTGGTGCACTGCAATACCTCACCATCACACGCCCAAATCTTACATATGGTGTGAATCAGGTTTGCCAATTCATGCATCAGCCACGTGAGACTCACTTAGTTGCAGTTAAAAGGATTCTTTGCTACATCAAGAACACTCCTCATTTTGGCATGCATCTTGTTAAATCTCGCGATGAACATCTGAGGGGATTTTCTGATGCTGATTGGGCTGGTTCTCTAGATGATCGACATTCTACCACTGGCTTGTGTAACCTCATCACCTGCGCCACTAAGAAGCAAACCACTGTATCTAGATCAAGTGCTGAATCAGAATATAGGGCATTAGCACACACAACAGCTGATATCCAGTGGTTTACATATCTTCTTCGAGAGTTAAAAATCCCATTACACCATCCTCCAATCCTTCACACTGACAATATCAGTGCTACATACTTAGCCTCCAACCCAGTTCTTCATGCCAGAACCAAACATATTGAGATTGACTATCATTTCTTAAGGGAACGTGTTTGTTGAGAGTCTCTCCATCTCTCTTATTGTTGTAACTATAAATACACAATTGGACACCATCATCTGGTGAAAATTTCCCAAATTATTATCTTCTTTTCTCATCTATTCTCAGTTTTTCACTACGAGTAATTGCAAGTACAATACACCAAATATATTAGACATGGCTTAAGCTAGTCCAAGTTGTGGGCAAGGTAAACTTTGTGTGACGCAACGTATAAAATATCAGACAACGAACAGCTTATTTAGTACTGTGGGATAAAGATGAATCCTTGTAATAACATTATTAACCAAAGTTGTCAATATGAGTATTTTCTTTTATCCGGCTCGCGTCATTCAAGGTGGTGTGGGCCCAGCTACCATTCACACTCAAAGCCTTAGTGATTTTGAGACTGCTCAACTTGGAAGCTTCAGAGTGTTAATAGCACGAATTAGCATATAAAAATCTGGAATAAGGATATTTTCAGCAACATATTTCATGACGGGAAAAATGTTGAAGATGTTGATCTGGAACAGCAATACAGGGTCATGAATCACTGTTTGCTGGGTCGGTTTAGATTCAAAATGCTTTGGAAAACAGTTGATAGATGAGAGCAACTTCACATCTTCCTTATAGGGAGGGAGGGCATTCTTCTCTTTGGTCCTCACCTTCCTGATCATTTGTTTCTGTGAACTATCACACTAGTGCACAAAATAGCATCTTACCCTTTCAATCCGTTCTTGTTGTAAATAATAAAATATAAGTGGAGAGAAATGAAACAAGAACACAAAGATATTACGTGGTTCAGCCACTAGCCTACATCCACGGCACAAAGAGCCCAAAGGGCTACGTCACTTTTATAATATTCTCTCTTAGTTTTTGCAAACAATGATCACCTCTATTTATTGGTGAAAGAATACAAACATGTGATACATATGATCACTCCTATGATTCACTCATATCGATATTCTTGGAGTGATTTAAGGGCTTTAATCACTCCTATAATGATATTCTCCAACATAACATCTTCCGACGGCTCTCACTGTTGTTTTTCTATTGTTTGACAGGGTTAAAATTATTGTATCTAGTTATTATTTTTGTTACTTTTCATGATTAAGCAAAAAACAAAAAAACAAAAATATTTTTTTATTAAATTCTTTTGTTGTATAATGTATGCAAGAAATATATATATATATATTTATATTTTCCTTCTTAAGCTTGGGTTCACTTTGTCTTGAATAGACCCATCTCAACAATAATAGCTAATTTGGTTTGGAAACTCTTATTTTACTTCTCATGCATTTCTTTAGTTTGAGTTGTTTCTCTGGAGAAGATGAGATGCTTAAAGTGGAAGTGTTGATGGCATAACAAGTGTAAGTAAGGAATAGTTTGAACTCCAAGAGCAATCTGATCAAGATTTTCCCCAACTCTGCCCCTTGCCCTAATCAAGAAGTAAACACCACACTATCAAATATCAAGCTAAAGTGCCAACATGTTTTGCCTTGTTAGTACAGAATTATTTCTTATTGAGTCAAGTTCCTATGTTTGAGAAATTCAACATATTCTAATCTAATCTGCTTGGGATTTGCCACCTTTTCCAGTCAGCTCCTCGTAATGCAAAAATATTTCCACATCTAGTTAGAAAATATTTTAGATTAAAAAGTTCTTAATTGACTGCATCACCAAATCATGTTTTGCATCAAAGGTTCCTTGACCAAATTTTGGCCCCCTTCATGTTTCCTTTGCACTTGTCTTAACATACTGAATTTGGATGGTACTTTTACTTTTGACAGTAGCACACTAGCACTATCTCATGCCTTAATTCTCTATATAGTTTGGGGCCTTATTTGGTAAATCAATGTCTTATATATAATAATGCTTTGTACTCCTAATCCACCAAGATAAATACGTGGGGCTATTCAACAATAAATTTCTTTGCTCCTATGAGTCGCTATGCTAGTGCTGGTGGAGGACCTCTTAATGCTTCTCGGGAGTTCAAAGAAATGGTTAGAGCCTTGCATAGTGCTGGAATAGAGGTATGCTATTTACTCCTCACAATTACAGCTAAAGTGCTTATCTAATTGTTCATTCTGTGTTCTTTTTGCCATAAGTTTGAAATGCTTATTATGTGTATGTGGTGATGCTTCTACATTTTACAGGTTATTTTGGATGTTGTCTATAACCATACTAATGAGGCTGATGATGACAACCCTTATACCACTTCATTTCGTGGCATAGATAACAAGGTGATGCCTCACTTCTATGTAAAGTTTACAAGCTGCACACGAGAATGTTTTTTTTTTTGAACATTTGGGGAGTAAGAAAAAGTAAGATTCTTAAACTTCAAGTCTTGATTTCGAGTTACTGTCACCTAGAGGTAGATAATTAGTCGTTTGTAGAAATTGTAGAAACCCTTACGAAGGTAGACTATATATAATATTAGGAAGGTCATGGACATATGATATGCAAATTAAATGAGAATGCATGTTCCTCTTTTTGTTTAGCACTTGTTTGAGAAAGTTTGTGGGTAATGTGGTATGGGTGAAGGGTGATATTATAGGTGCACTGTGATTTAATTATATCTTTACCCACCTTATATAAAGATTCGTAATTTCCCTTTTTAACCCAATAACCATCAAAAGAAAAGCTCCCCAACTTTGATAAACAGGCCATGTGCATGAGCTCTAAAACTCAATTATTATTATTTAGAGAAATTGGAAGAGGAACTTTAATTTTTTAATTTTTCTGTGTGACTCTTTAATGGTTTGCATCTCTTGGGGTTGGAGTTGAACAATATAACCTGTATGGGTCTATTCTGAATAGTTACCTGTAATATATAACAGGTATCTTAATCAAATACATGTAATTTGCAGTGCTTGCGCCCTTCTTGAAGGTGGCCCTTTTTTTTTTTTTTTTTTTCTTTCTAAATATATCATAGATTCATAATGATTTATAAATGTAGAAACTGAAGGAGAGAGAGACTGATGGAGGCTGCAATATACGTACTCTCATTCCATTACCCTAAAATGAAATATATACAAACATAAGAAAGCCTAATTACATAATGGCCACAAACTATAATTACAGTTTTGTCCAACATAAATATATATATATATATACACACACACATAAATATTCCAACACTCTCCCTCAAGCTGGAGAATATATATTATATAATCTTAGCTTGGAACATATAGTCCTTAACCGATTATACGCTTTTGTAAACATATCAGCTAGTTGATTTTTAGACTTCACAAATGGAGTAGAGATGTTCCCACTTAATATTTTTTCTTGAATGAAGTGACAATCAACTTCAATATGCTTGGTACTCTCATGGAACACAGGATTGGATGCAATGTGAATAGCCGCTTGGTTATCACAGAACAATGAAATAGGAGCTTTGACTGTCAACCCAAGTTCCTTTAGAAAATGTTTTACTCATGTCAACTCACTAGTGGTATGGGTCATTGCCCTGTACTCAGCTTCAGCACTAGACCGCTACCACTGTTTGCTTTTTACTTTTCCATGTAACAAGGTTTCCTCCTACAAATGTGCAGTAACCAGTAGTAGATCTCCTATCTGAAGGAAAGCCAGCCCAATCAGCATTTGTAAAACCTTCTACCCTTAGATGACCATTTGATTTATATAGCAACCCAGAACTTGGAGATTGCTTTAGATATCGGATAATCCGAAGAAGAACATTCCAATGTGGTACTCTAGGAGCTCCTATGAACTAACTTACGACACTAACTACTTATGAAATGTCAGGTCGGGTGATAGTGAGATAAATTAATATCCCAACTAGATTTCGATAACTGCCAGGGTCGTCAAATAGATCGCCTACATCTGACAAAAAATTTATATTTGGATCGAGCATTAGCAGGACGACTGCCTGACATACCTATTTCTTCTAATAAGTCCAGCACATATTTCCTTTGAGATAAACTTATACCTTTCATGGATCTAGCAACTTCAATACCCAAGAAATATCTAAGTTTACCCAAGTCTTTAGTGTAAAACCGATTTTGCATAAACAATTTCAACTTAGAAATGCTTTCAATCATCACCTGTGATCACAATATCATCTATATACACCACAAGAAAAATGAAACCAACTTTAGTGTGCTGGTGAAATACCGAATGATCTGTCTAACATTTATTAAGACCAAATGCTAATGCCGCCTCGGAGAATTTTCCAAACCAAACCCTTGGAGATTGTTTCAATCCCTACCGGGCATTCCTAAGGCAACAAATAGTATGGTGATGCTCCCCCTGAGCAATAAACGCAGGTGGTGCTCCATGTAAACTTCCTCAGTTAAGTCACTATGTAAGAAGGCATTTTTCAATAAGGACTCGGATAGAAGAAATCTTCGCAACAGGAGTAAATGTCTCATCATAATTGTTGGAAATTGTGTCTTAAATTCCTATTCTAATTAGGATTCTATTTTAGAGTTGTATTCTGTTAGGTAATTTCTTATTTGGCGAGTCTTGGCCTCTAAGGAATTGTAATCCTTGTCCAACAAGGAATTGTGTTCGTAACTCTATAATTAAGTACATATGTTGTGGGTTGAGACTTATGAGATTGAGAGAGATGTAGTCTCATGAGGTAGTTGGTGGGTAGAGGTAGTATGCCGGGATAGAGTAGGAAAAAACCGGTGATGCTGGTAGCGAGGAAATAGACTTGTAGAGTGGTGGGTTGGTACTTTATTGTTGTAATATCTCTACAAATCGTACTGGAATCTCTTCTCATCCATGGACGTAGGCTGGTTTTGGCTGAACCATGTATATCTTGTGTTTGTGTGCGATTGCTTTGTTGGCTTTCTTTGAATATTTCTTATTCGTGCGCTTTTGCTGCCCCAACAAATTGGTATTAGAGCCAAAAGGAAAGAGATCCAGAAAACACAAGAAGTCTCAACATGAGCTACAACGGGCTTTAGTTATAGGTGGAGTCAATCGGCTTGTTTACATGGCATGGAGCTTGAGTAGTCAAGGTGGAGCCTTGGAGGTTTGACTGATTGAGCAACGTATAATGTGGACAATCGAAGTTTTGCAGGAGTATCGTCAAGATTGAAGCTGCAAAAGAATTGTCATGATCAATGCCATGGAAAACGATGATTGGCTGGATGGAATTTGAGCCAAGGTGGAGATTGTTGGAAATTGTGTCTCAAATTCATATTCTAATTAGGATTCTATTTTAGAGTTGTATTCTGTTAGGTAATTTCTTGTTTGGCGAGTCTTGGCCAATAAGGAATTGTAATCCTTGTCCAACAAGGAATTGTGTTTGTAACTCTATAAATAGGTACATATTATGTGGGCTGGGACTTATGAGATTGAGAGAGATGTAGTCTTATGAGTTGATGGGTAGAGGTAATATGCGGGGGTAGAGTATGAAAAACACTGGTGGTGCTGGTAGCGAGGAAATAGACTTGTGGAGTGGTGGTGTTGGTGCTCTATTGTTATAATATCTCTACGAATCATAGTGGAATCTCTTCTCAGCCATGGACGTAGGCCGGTTTTGGCTGAACCACGTATATCTTGTGTTTGTGTGTGATTGCTTTGTTGGCTTTCTTTGAATCTTTTTTATTCGTGCGCTTTCGCTGCCCCAACAATAACAACACCATAGGTCTGGGTGTACCCCTTTGCAACAAGATGAGCCTTCAACCGCTCAATAGATCCATCATGAAGGTATTTGACAGAATAAACCCACTTACAACCAACTGGCTTGTAACCAGGAGGTAAGGGAACAAGATCCTATGTCCCATTACGATGAAGGGCATCCATTTCATCTACCATGGCTTTGCGCCAATCTGAATTAGAAAGAGCATCCTGCAAAGTCTTGGGAACAAAGGTAGCAAACAATTTGGTTAAAAAATAGGATAAAGATGGTGATACATTACTATATGAGACAAAGTTAGAAATAGGATGTGTAGTAACACAAGACTGAGAACCTTTACGTAGAGTAATAGGTAAAGAATTAGACACAATAGATGGTGTCGGGTCCAAAGACTCCGAAGAAAATGGAGGAACCAAAGTACGCAACTTGGGCCGCCGAGTATAAACCTGCAACGGGGTAATAGATCAGGGAGGATCAGGAGTAATGGGAGTGGGAGATAGAATGGGAGATACAGAGGGATGAGAGGAAGACTGTAATCAGAAAAATATGGGACCGACTCGGAAAAAGATACATCCGCACTAATAAAGTATTTTTGGGGACGGGGAATATAACAACGATAACCCTTTTGAGTGCGAGAATGCCTAAGAAACACACATTTAGTGGCACGGGGGTTAAGTTTGTCGAGACTAGGTCCAAGGTTATGGACATAACAAATACATCCTACGACTCGAGGAGTAAGAGTAAACGGTGCGGAATCAAGAATCAAGATTGAATGGATAGATTTCCCTTGTAACATAGATGATGACATACGATTAATAACATGACAAGCAGTAAGAACAACACAACTCCAAAACCATTTGGGAACATGCATATGGAATAAGAGGGCACAAGTTAATCCCAAGAGATGACGATTTTTATGTTAGCAACTCCATTTTGTTGAGGAGTACAAGTACATGATGACTGATGAATGATGCCTTTAGCACAAAAATAAGTCTCAAAAGGGTCTGAGAAATATTCTTTGGCATTGCCAGAACGTAAAATTTGAATGGAACACCTAAACTGAGTTTTTATTTCTTTACGAAATATTTGAAAAATAGAGAATAACTCAGAGAAATTTTTCATTAAAAACAACCAAGTCATATGAGAATGATCTTCCACAAAGGTCACAAAATAACGAAATCCTGTAAAAGAAGTATGCTTGATTGGTCCCCATACATTTGAATGAACTAACTGAAAAAGACTAACCTCACAATTATTAACTCTAGGTTTGAAAGATACACGACAATGCTTACTAAGCTAACAAGCATCACAAGACAGAGACAAAACACGACTAAGACTTGGGACTTGACGCTGCAAAACAGAGAGTGACGGGTGGCCAAGATGACAATGCCACTGGAAAGGAGACAGAGGATTGAAGAGCAGAGGAAAGATGCTCAAAATTAAGGTAATACAAGCCATCTATTTCATGTCCTGTACCAATTTTCTTCTTCGTCGTAAGATCTTGAAAGACACAACATGTGGGATAAAATGTAATGGAGCTGTTGTAAAGCATAAAACGGAAGCGAAGAGAAATTAAACGAGTAGAACACACATATATTACGTGGTTCAGCCACTAGGGCCTACATCCACGGTACAAAGAGCCCAAAGGGCTATATCACTTTTATAATACTCTCTCAAATCATATACAATACAATGGTGGAGGTTCCTTTATATAGGAGAAGAAATTATGAGAATGGAAAGAACTAGAAAATAGGAAACAAGGAGGATTTTTCTCCACTGATTCCCTTTAGTAACACCAAATCTTCAATAATAGGAAACAACATCAATTACTGAAAGATTTTCCTTCACTGATTTATCCATTAAATCTTCAATACTCCCCCTTATGAATGCCCAACTTGCCATTGAGATGACGAGTAACGACTAGTGTGAATGATGAAGAGAGTAGAGAGAAAACAAAGAACAATGCTACCGAACACGCCGACAGCCCAAACAAGTCAACAAAAAACTATTGGAGACACAGTAAAGGCGAGGACAATGCTACTGAACACACCGGCAGCCCAAACAAGTTGATAAAAACTGCCGTAGACATGGCAAAGACGAAGATAATGCTACCGAACACACCGGCAACCCAAACAAGTCAATAAAAACTGTCAGAGACATGGTAAAGGTGAAGAACATTACTGCCGAATAAACCGGCAGCCTAAACAAGTCACAAATAGCACCGAAAAATCCCTAGCAACATTTCAAATGCTAAGGGAATACCCCAAAATATGGGTCCGAACATAGGATGAATTTTTTTTTTTTTTTTGATAAGTAAAATGTATTAGAAAGCGTTCAAAAGGGGAACGCGTCCCGAGATATACACAAAAGAATCTATGAACTCAAAGAACCCAAAAAGTCCACAATGTCCTCTAAAGAAGAACAATCCCTCCCCCAACCCCAACAAAAAATGGTACAAATAATAGAAAATTTCAGCTCTCCAATAGAGGACTCCTTCCCATCAAAAGATCTTCTGTTCCGCTCTTTCCAAAGACTCCACCAAACACAAAGAGGGGTCACCCTCCAGAAGTCTATTGCCTGAATCCCCACCCATTGGCCCCTCCAGATATCTAGCAATCCTCGAGAAGTCTGAGGCATGACCCAATGGATGCCAAACAAACCAAGCAAAAGACTCTAACATTCATAAGCAACAGGACAATGCAACAGAAGGTGATCCACGGACTCCCCAAAACACTTGCAAAGACAACACCGGTTAACAATGATATGTCTTCTCTTTCGTAAATTGTCCAAAGTCAGAATCTTACTCCAAGCTGCAGTCCACACAAAGCCACACCGTCTTCCACGGGAAGGGCAACCCATGAAACCCAGAGAGGCGCACAAAGAATGACCGGACCTGGAACATCCCATTAGAAGAAGGCACCCAAAACAAGGAATCCACACTAGTGCCATCCAAATCCTGTCTATACAAAAGGGCCAACAAACCAGTGACATCATCCAACTCCCAATCCTGAAAAGGTCGCCTGAATCGCACATCCCAAGACAACGTCCCGCTATCAAGACGATAGCGGTCAGCAACCATAGCATGTTTGTCAACAACAATCCTAAACAATCTTGGAAACAACAGAGCCAAAGGCCTATCTTCACACCAGGAATCCTCCCAAAACCTGACAAATCTTCCATCCCGAACTCTGAATCTAATGTGTTTGGAGAATTCATCCCACCCCTTCCCAATGGACCTCCACACCCCCACACCATAAGCAGCCCTAATAGGCCTAGCTGACCACCCCCCTCTCTCTTCCCCAAAACGACAAGAAATGACCTTTCTCCATAATCTATGTCTTTCATTGCCGAACCTCCAAAGCCACTTGCCTAGAAGAGCATTATTAAAAGGGGCCAGTCTTCTAATTCCGAGACCACCAAGCTGAAGAGGCTTGCAAACCTGATCCCATTTGACAAGATGATATTTAAACTCCTCCCCACGACCCCCCCAAAGGAAATTCCGTTGGAGCATCTCCAGTCTTCCCACAATAGAGGCTGGAATCCTAAAAAGCGAGAGAAAGTATGTTGGGAGGCTTGACAAAACACTCTTCACTAACTTGACTTTTCCACCCTTGGAGAGATATTGCTTCTTCCAACCAGCCAATCTTCTCTCGACCCGCACAATCACCGGGTCCCAACTTCCCACCCTCCTTGCCGAGTCCCCCAGCGGTAGACCCAAATAAGAAATAGGGAAGCGTTGCATCCCACAGCCTAAAGCAGCAACCAGAGAATCCACATCCTGCACCTCCCCCACAGGGACAAGTACACTTTTACCCACATTGACTTTCAGACCAGAGACAGCTTGAAAACAAACCAAAACACATCTCAAATACTGCAACTGGGACACCTCTACCTCACAGAAAACAATAGTATCATCCGCAAAAAGAATACAATGGTGGAGGCTCCTTTATATAGGAGAAGAAATTATGAGATTGGAAAGAATTAGAAAATAGGAAACAAGGAGGATTTTTCTCCACTGATTCCCTCTAGTAACATCAAATCTTCAATAATAGGAAACAACATCAATTACTGAAAGATTTTCCTTCACTGATTTATCCATTAAATCTTCTATAGGAGCAATGATGAGTTTTAGTAACTTTACTAATAGACATCAAATTGAAAGGAAATTGAGGAACATGTAGGACAGACGAGAGAGACATAGAAGAACTAAGATGAATTGTGCCTTAACCCGATACTTTGGTTGATGAGCCATTAGCAAGAGTTACACTTTGAGATGGAGTGACAGAATGAAAATCAGATAATAAATGAGAACTGCCAATCATATGATCAGATGCACCGGAGTCAAGAATCTAGGGACTGTGACGGGAAGACAAGAGACATGCAGGCATACCTGATTGGGCGAAAGAAACCATGGTAGATGAGATGGATGTTTGTTGCTGAGTCATAAGCTGAGCATACTCAGTACAAGGAATGGTGATCATGTCGGAATCAGCAATCTGGCGAGAGCCAGTAGGTGGAGCAAATGAATGAGAAGCATCCTCTATAGAGGACACCTGACGTGCATGGGTAGAAGATTTTGGTTTCCCATGAAGGTCCCAACAATACTTGACATTGTGATTAGGGAGACTGCAGTGAGTACATGTGTTTCATTCTCTGCTAGGTATAATAGAATGTGTAGTAGATTCTGCCATTTAACTAAAGAGCAGATTGAAAAATGCACAAAAAAAAAAAAAACCTTAATGTAGTCCCGGGTGCCGAATGTAGCAACAACACAGAGAGCTCACTGTCTCGAGAAGAAACTAGAGGCAAAAAATCTGAACTGAACCAGGTCGGGACCTCAAAATGAGTTGTAACTTCAAATGAATCAGATCTGAAATTGGCTCGGATCTGCAAACCTGTTTAGATGTACACTCGGCCGGGATAGGCTAAACTGGTTTGGGACAAGCAAATACCATTAGCCAAACAGCCCACTTCTGCTTTTTCTTCTTCAACAAATTCTGCAACTTCCGTCCAAAAAAGACGACGGCAACCACTGACCAACGAACCGAGTCTCGCTAAGCTAGCAAACACCTTCACCGATGTATGAACCAAGATGACGATCTAATAATGAAGCCACCACACAGGCACGATGATGACTCAAAATCCAAACCAAGTCCGTAACACAAGTGACAACTCGACAGACGACAACACACAGCGACGACGAACACCTGTGATGGAGATGGTGACTACAACACAGGGCGACACTATTAAGTAAAAATTCCACTCCGGCAACAACAAAGAACTGGGTTGCGATGATGAAACAGATTGGAAATTTCACGATCTGAAAAAAAAACTTTCTATGATGTAGAGGCCAACACACAGACTCCCTCTTCACGGCGATGTCAACAAACAACTTCAAGTGGCACTGTTCGGCGCTCTGATACCATGTAGAAATTGAAGGGGAGAGAGACTGACGAAGGCTGCAATATACGTATTCTCATTCCATTACCCTAAAATGAAAATAGGGAAAATATATACAAACATAAGAAAGGCCTAATTACATGATGGCCACAAACTATAATTACAGTTTGGTCCAACATAAATATATATATATATATATATATATATATACACCCACACACACATAAATATTCCAACAATAAATAAATAAATAAAAAAGCCGGTATAATATTTGGACTTCGTCTTTTAGTGCTGATGTGTCTCTACTCTCTAGAACTTTCTCTTTTCTTTTCTTTTTCTAGATATATTTTTATAAAATTTTCTTTTTGGATTTTTTGGTTTTGAGATTGAGTACTTGCAGGTGATTGAGATGTTTTGTGATACTTACTTTGAGATGTAACAATTTTCCAATAGAAATAGAAATGTTTATGGCTCATGAGGTTTAAGGTACAACTATGAAAGTCGTACTTTCAGTAAGTATGCGTTCTGAACTTAATCTGAAAAGATTCAACTCCATCAAGCTTTGAATCATTGAAGTAAATGAGACACAATGGTTTTGTCCCCCACTTCTGGAGTCCTTTTTTTCTGAGCTTATTTTATTGCTTCAATAAAGCTTGACAACTTTATTGACCGTAATCATGACACTTTTGTTGGCAAGTAAGAACACACACCCAAACTCCACATACGTACAAATTATGGCTGAAGGGGGACTTGAACCTTCAACCTCCCATATAGAGGCTGAAGCGATACTAATAATGGAAAATGCTAGGTTGATATAGTCTTTCCCCCACCCTCGCGCCTGGTAAGTGGGCTGGCATCATTCACATTCTATATTTGATCCACAAGTTGTATCAAATGCTGTCATAGGAGGTTAATAGATGCATAAACATTCTAAATCAAATGTTATTTATTTACTTATTCATTCTTTTCTATATATACATTTTTATTTATTTATTTATTTTTGCATCAAAATGGTTGTTTGTCTTTTCTTTAATTTTCTTTTGATGTCACCTACAGGTTTATTACATGGTGGATTTTAACAACAATGGGCAGTTGCTGAACTTCTCGGGCTGTGGTAATTCCAAGATATATCTATTACTTCTCACCTCTTTTTATGCAGAATATCTTCTTGCAGACATATATAATGGAAACAGGATTTTTTTTATTGCCGTATAGAACAACTTACATAGTATATCTGTTGCAATAATTTAAAAACCATTGTTAAACTGTTGTATAGACATTCATTTCCGTAGAGAATATGGAATCTATTTTTATGTTAGTAATTAGATTTATTTGGAAAGAGAGAATAGGAAGACGGGGCCCACAAATAATAGAAAGCAAAAGAGAGAGACTATCAATGTCATCAACAAAAGGGGAAAAGGAAAACCACTGCGATATACGCAGTGAAGCGACTCTAGAGGAAGAGATGTTTTAGAATTTGAATTTCATCTACAAATGAAATTCCATATTATCAATGCACTCGGAAAATGATGTGGAATCCTTGCCTAAAGGCTGATTTTCTCCATTACTAAATTTATTCTACTTAGCCAGAAAAAAGTAAAAGGCGAATAACACAATTTTGGAGGTAGTGAAAATGTGGTCTGCAAGTCTTATATCTTCACTTGCCCCAAAACAAATTAGATGGTAAAAGACAGCAAAATATCAGAGGTGTTTCTTGAATCTTGAATTACCCAAAGGGCCGAGAAACATATTGATTACTCGAGTCTTCAATTGATCCAGATTTAATGTAGGAATTACATTTTTCATGATTGTAAGCTAAAGGAAAGATAGTCCTGCCTTTTGATGTAATACTCTGTTGAACAAAGATTTGACATTATTGCATGAACCAAGAAACTTCTTTCTGATGCAGTTTTCTATTGATATCCAGGGAACACGTTAAACTGTAATCATCCTGTGGTCATGGAACTTGTACTTGATAGCTTAAGGCACTGGTATGGGCACTGTATCTGCTTTATGGTTTTCTTGTCAATGATTTTTATATCGATCCTAATAATATAGTTGTTGTTCTATGAATGTGAGTTTGCTACACTCTTGTTATATATTGATAGTTTTTCATATGCAACTTTATTACATGAATAGTTCTCTATAATGCTGGAGTGTTTGTTTTCTTATTATTTGGCAATTGAAATGTGTTGGGGCAGCGAAAGCGCGCAAACACAAATGCTTCGTTTGGTTGGAGGGATGGAAAAATGGATGGAAGAGATGGGGGGAGGGATGGATGAGGTATCCCTAGGGAAGGAAGGGTGTCTTTCCCATTTTATGTTTGTTTGAATGGAATGGATAATAGAAAGGATGAATGGAGTGATACTTTTTTCTTGTTTGGTTGGAAGGAAAGGAAGAAGAGTTCTTATATTATTTTTATCAATACACCCTTTTATATAAAATTATTAAAGGTAGATATTTATTTCAAAATTTTTTAAAAGGTTAAATTTGTAAATTACAAATTTATAGGAAGTCATGCCTTCTTTCTCTCCTCTCTTCCTCCCAAAAGTGGGCGGATAGAAAAACATAAAGGAAGGAGGGACCCCTCTCATCCATCCCCCCTCAATCCTTCCCTCCAACCAAACATAGCAAAAGATCTAATGAAAGCCAACAAAACAATCACACACAAACACAAGATATACATGGTTCAGCCAAACCAGTCTACGTCCATGGATGAGAAGAGATTCCACTATGATTAGTAGAGATTTTACAATATTAGAGTATCAACATCACAACTCCAAATATGCTGCCGAACAAACACCGGCAGCACACAAAGAAAAAAAAACATCAGAAGGACTCTCCTAAAAAAGGAGTCAAAAACAGAGGGTTACCCGAGGGGTCTGGCGCAAGGACTGGGAGGAGATGGAGATGCGCCAGAGGTGAGGGAAAATGGAGAGAGGGAGAGAGAGGGTGGCGGCGTTGGGGAGACGATGGTTTTTGTTTTTCTCTGATACCAAAAAGAAGAAGTTTTGGGTTTTGGCTTAGTCAAACCGAGAGCCAAGAGTTAAATTTATATACAAGAATATGGTACAAAGAAAGGAAACCAAATCAAAGAAAAACATGAAATATGCCAAAATCTACGTGATCACATGATTACGGGGATCTTACATAAAACACCTAATAAAAGGCTGAAAACAGTTAATAAAAATAATAATACAGATATTTCAACAGATTACAATTCCTTGGAGCCCAAGACTTGCCTTACAAGAACATTCCTAACATAATACAACTCTAAAATAGAAACCTAATTAAATTTGGAATTTGAGACACAATTTTCAACAAAATGTTTGGTGATCTTTGAATCTGCTTTTATGATGCCTAACAAGTCAAAAATATCGAGCGATTGTTGTGTTTAATGCTTGCCAACATAATCAAGCAGCATATGCTGCCCAGAAACCCACCCCTTACACATGGCACTTGGTCATCTAGATTTTTGTCAATAATCAGTGAGGACTTCAGAACTATTTCTGTTGTGATAGTTTACAGAGCATTGGCTCTGCTTCTCAGTGTTTATAATCAGACTAGAATAGATGATGCGATTGTTAGGGATAAGTTTGTTCATCATTTTTACCCCTTACATATGGTTATATCATCTACGCAGTGGTTAATAGCATTTCTGTGGAAGTACCTTTTTGTGATACCTGTTGATGGATCCACTGATATTCATTATTTTGTAGACTGTTTCTTTCTGGTTGTTCTTGTATATTATTGGTTACCTACATCTTATTTTTCTAGATTATAATTATTCTTCTTCTTCTTATTTTTTTAATTATTTTTTTTAATTCAATTGAAGGGTTGTGGAATATCACGTGGATGGATTCCGCTTTGACCTTGCTAGTGTTCTTTGTCGAGGTCCAGATGGTTCACCACTTAATGCTCCCCCACTTATCAGGGTAAGTCATCCACATACGTATGACTACATATATTTATATACAATGTGTGTGTTTTGGGTGTTGGGGGGGTGGGGGTGGGTGGTGTGGTAGAATGAAGTTAAATATTTGTAATTGAGCATATCTAATTTTGTGGTGTTCATATATTATATATATATATATATTGATTTTATTGTATTAAAAGAAAATTTGAGTTGAGGCATTGATGTGCAATGATTTAGTTAAGTGTACTGAAAGTAAATGGATCTCAATCTCTGTCTGCTTGGTATGCTTGTACATATTAGATTACTGACAATCGGAATACAACCTCGTTTGTTAGAGTAAGAAAGGTGTTTGTGGAAATAGCAAGTTCCATTTCATCAGGATGTCACTGAATGGTTTGTAGTAGCGGTTCCACAATTCTATGTTTCAACCATGGTTTGCCGAGCCGTCCGATTCGCACCTGAAATTGGGATGGTTGGTTCCACTACACCCCGGTATACCAGGGTGTGTACGAATTCACTAATGAACCGGTCAAACCGACCTTTTTTAAGATTCGGGCCAACCACGAACCGGCCCACTCCCAATTAAATTGAAATAATTGAACTGACCAGCTCTAAGAAAGTGCTGGGCTTATAAAAATTTAAAACTTTTTAAAAATGGACCTCTTGGTTAGCAAGCTCAACTAGCTTATAACTTATATTTGGATTATACAATGTGTTGGTTTCATAAGTAGCCTTGCTCACGTCTTCCTTTAAAGTTTCCGATATGGGGCTCATACAAGTGTCAGCCTTGACATGCTTCTTTTATATGGGGGACTTGTTCACATCCTCCTTAAAAGTTTTCGATGTGGGACTTGTGCAAAGTGTATTCTGTGGGACTTTCTTTGCTCTGTCTAACCTCTAAATACTTTACTCAAAATAAAGAAAACCATCTATGTATGTGGGACTTGTACAAAGTGTATTTTATTTAAATTTTCAATTTTGTTTTTGATCTTTTAATTCTCATATATTGTATATGATATGAAATTTCATTTTTTTCATAATTAAATTTACTTTTATTCATTAATTTCGTAAAAAATATAATTACTAAGCCTTTTTTTTTTTAAAAAAAAAAAAAAACATCAACTAAAAATTCATGAATATGTTGTTACAAAAAAGGCATCAACTAAAAATTCATGAATATGTTATTACTTGTGTTAAATGATGTTAAAAAAATTCATTAAAATTCACCAAAATTTATTAAAAATCTATCTTTATTGAACCATGTTTGAGTTTGAAAAAAATTCACGACCGCGATAACCGATACCATTACGTAACACTAATACTTGCCCGAGTTTGCTACACCGCCACCGCGAACCTTGGTTTCAACACTAGATCATGGTATGATTGCCAATTATTTATTATTATTATTTTGAATGGTAAAACAAACACACACACCCTTCTTGGCCCCACTCGGGCTCGAACCCCTCCCCTCTTCTTTGAGGATGGGGAGGTTATACCATTGGGCCAAAGGGCCTTTGGTGATTGTCAATTATTAGTAAACTAAGAAATAGTGTTATTTCTAAAAAGGCGTATTAGGCTGAGAAATGATGAGATAAAGACGACCACTAATGAGCTTACATCATTAGGAAGGAGCTTCGCATTAAGACAAGAGTAGGATCAGTACAACTATTTGAGGAAGAAACTTGAGAGGTTAAATTGGTGGCAGATTTTTGTTGAGAAAGCAGATAGCCGTGAGGAAACACAATATCTTTAATCTCAAACACAATATGTTTCATCTCAAACTGCGACACAAGCTGCTTGATAGATTGAATTTGAGAAATGCAATAAATTGAAAAAAGAAAAAGAAAAACTAGGGCCACGGTGGAGGTGTGCCTAAATGAAACCCAGCTAATTTTACCTTTCCTAAAATGTGTGCTCATTGAATGGTCATTGAGCTGGATATACTTACCTTGAAGCTCCTTACACTTTTTGGTTGATCATTACTAGAGCTTTTCGGTCTTCTCTAGATCTTGACATCCTTGATTCGTTACGACATTTCTTTCTTCATTACAGACTAATTGTTACTTAATTAGCCAACTTAACACAATTTTTCCCAAACAGATCTACATATAAGATGGGCTCGTAGGAGTCCTTATAAAATTATCAGGTTGGCTACAGCTTGATTTGTGTTTAAAAAAACTCAATTAGGACATTGAGGAAGTACTTGTTGGAGGAATGCTGATATTGTCAGGAGTGTGTGAAGTAGGGTGTGATACTCAAGAAGAGGAGGCTGGTGATATTTAACGACACTGACATTCTATATGAGTGTAGGAGAAAGTGGCAGTCAGGTAAGGAGGGTGTTTTTTATTTTGATGACATTTGGACTCTTGGATGTGATGGACGAAGGAAATAGGCACTTGTAGAATACCATTGTTAGAGGATTTATTTCTTTTATATGATGGTAGTTTTGTCTTAAATCTGTTTATTAGTTTAGGGCATATTATATTAGTTGTATATTGTATTCTTGATGTATTAATGTACGGAGTATTATTGAATACACGCGACTGGCTTTCTTCTCTCTCTTCTTCACTTTGCAAAATTCCCAACCGTGTTATATAATTTTTCGTTACCTTCTTGATTCTAGTACTCTGAATTTCATTATAACATTTTTTATTCTTCTTTTTCTTCTCTTTTGTTCTTCCCATTCTTCTGGCTGATACATTTCGTAGTTGCTTTGGGCCTGCCTATATCAAGTCATATTTGGGTTTCATTTCACTAATGCTAAATATTTTGATGGTAGAGTGAACTAGTTGCAAACCGAATTTGTTTCTGATATATAGCTTTTACCAAAAAAATTTGAATTTGTTCCTGAACATCCTTCATTTGCTGACTTGGACGGGTATTACTGATTAAAATTGTTCGAGTGAGTTTTTCACATTATGAACCAAGGGATAATGTACAAGGAGTTTAATCAGTGGCAGAGTTACTAAAGGAGGCTATTTCATAAATCCTATCCTGTCTGATCATATAACCATAACATATTTTTTCATTGCTTTCATCTCTGTTCTTTTTTAGCCATCCTCTTATCCTTATAGCTACTTCAACTTAAATTAAATTACTTTTCCTTATTATGCATTAACTGGTCCTCATTGCTTATTAGAAAACCATCTTGGACAACTTTTCCTCATTCTTGCATTCCATTGGTACATTACTTTCTCACAATATTTTCATCTCTTTCATATGATATTAAATCAGTCATCGAACTGACCTGATTAACCTATCCTTAACCTAAAGTGGAAAGTGATATAGTGTATCTCAATCGCACCTAATTGCGATGCATCAGAAACAATGCAACTCTAGCCATCTCGTTACATTCAAACAAAAGTGCACGAGTAGTTCAATTAGTTCACGTTTTCGGACTACAACTCTTCTTATAAATGGTTACAGGAAAGAGAAAAGGTTAATTACTAACTTGTGTATGCGGTGTTACACAGTTTTATATCAAAAGGTTCTGCAGTGTTAATGTGTTTTTGAATTGAAATCTGACAATATTATGCTTCTGCTAGAGATATTACCTTGTGATCTTTTCTTTTTCTCCTTCCCCTTCATATTTACCTGTACCTTTTGATGTTATTATAAAATTCTGAAATGAGTGTTTCACTAGTTGTGTAAGGTTGTAGACTTCTATGGTTGATGCATCATTAGTATTGATTGAATTTTTTTTATATAGTCAATTTATGTTGTAGTTAGGTCAATGGAACTACATGGAGAATAAAGACAGGTTGGATCATTAATTGACGAGAAATTGGGTTTCTGCAACATATATATATATTTTTTTCTTTTTCTTTAATGGGGCAGGCGATTGCCAAAGATGCTGTCCTGTCAAGGTGCAAAATTATTGCGGAACCATGGGATTGTGGAGGCCTTTATCTCGTTGGAAGTTTTCCAAATTGGGACCGGTAACATTCATTTAACACTATTTTTCTTTCAGAAGTTTTCAGGTTATAAAATAGTAGATACAGCAGATATTGGTCCTTGCATTGGATATAATGTTGCAGACATGTGGTGGAACCCTAGCTGTTCATGAACCGCTTGGTTCATTTGGAGCCCTGCTTGTAATCCTTATAATTTCTAATGACTGAATAAAAATTAGATACCTGTTCATTCAAGTTAAATTTCTTTTGGTTTTCCTTTGCTATTGAAATTGAGTGATTCCTCTTCTTGAATCAAGGATATTGTTTTGGTTGCGTTAAGTGAGTATGGAATTAGCAACTTGGAGTTGAGCAGGATTATCCCCCTCCTTTGATCAAGACCATTCTGGTTCTAATAATCTTATTTATCAATTTCTCTGTTATTTAACAAATTCCTTTTATTTACCAATTAAAATGAGTTAGTTGATCCACTTTCTGCAAATGTTTATCTTGCCTTTCAAGCCTATTGTAATCAACAAGACAAAAGCTGGTCTGGAAGGCTAGAGTGGGCATAAGTCTCATACTTGCGTCGTTACATTTGTGTGTATCTGGTGTTACTCTATAGATAATAGTTGTTCGGAGTGTTGATTGTTTGTGTGATAATGTTTGAATTAAGTCTAGCACTGAATTTTTTGACAGATCCCATTCAACTAATGATGGTCATTTCATATGCTTGGAGCTTTGGTTAAAATTGTGAAACTAAATGCATCCACTTCTCTAATTTTCAAATAATCTTAATTATTGTTCTTTTATGCTGCTTCCTTGAATGATTGATAAATCCATGTGATCCTTTTACTATTTTGACAGAAGCATTTACTGTTGACAGTATTCAATGGGTTATTGTTGTTATGCCAACATATGCTTGGCCATGTTTGGTGGTTGTGCTGCAATGTTTAGTAAATCTTGCCGGAACTTTAGGTTTTTCATATCTTGGCATTCTTACTTTCTTATTTTTCTAAAACCTTTGCTCACTTTATTAAATCTTGGTCACGTTACTTTTACAACTATTATATGCCAGATTTCTAATGTGCAGGTGGGCGGAATGGAACGGGAAGTACCGTGATGACATAAGAAAATTTGTAAAGGTGATTTTTAATATGAGAAGCTTTTCAATTTATTAGGGATCTGTTAGAAGTATTCACATCTGGAATGTAGATGCCAAAAATATTTACAGAAGTTTTTTGCATATGAAATTGATTTGTGACATATAACTATATGAGGAGTCACATTGTCACTTGGTAAATTTGTTATCAACACGTTATTAAGCTTGATATGGTATAACTATTTGGATTTCAAGTCTTCTTTTATTTTATTATTATAATTTTTTTGTCTTATTTTTTCAAGCTATTAACCTCATCATTCTCCCTGAAGTTTGTAAATTGCTTTGCGATACTATCAACTACTGTTTGTATTAGAAATATCTCATTTCATGGAAATTTGATTTCATAAGATAAGATTGTTTTTTTCTTTACTAGGAATCTCAGTTGTTTTGATTAATGACTGGTGTTGGTTTGTGCTTTACATGATTCATAAGCCACTTTGTTCGTTTTAGGGTAAAATGTTCTTGACACCCCCTCAAGTTTGCCTTTATTGCTCTGACACCCCTCTCAGAACTAACCACTGTTTTTTTTTAACGGAAAACATGAGTTTACCATTATACCCATATTTATTTGCTGACATATACACTAAAAAAATGAAATGTGTATATTGCCCTTATTCAAACACCTGTATATTGTCAAAGGACAAGGTCATTTGCACTCGTGCCTTTATTTAAACTTCTAATGATCCGCTATTATTAATTTGTACAATGCACGTTTTTGCTTTACATGATTCATAAGCCACTTAGTTCTTTTTAGGGTAAAATGTTCTTGAGACCCCCTCAGGTTTGCCTTTATTGCTCTGACACCCCTCTCAGAACTAACAACCGTTTGTTTTTTAACGAAAAACATGATTTTACCATTATACCCGTATTTATTTGCTGACATATACACTAAAAAAATGAAATGTGTATATTGCCCTTATTTAAACACCTGTACATTGTCAAAGGACAAGGTCATTTGCACTCGTGCCTTTATTTATTTAAACTTCTAATGATCCACTATTATTATTATTTTTTTGATAAGTAAGATTTTATCGAAAACGCTTAAAAGGGGAGCGAAACCCAAAGAAACACAAGGGCCAAAGGGCGCCTTAGACCTTCAAAGAGGCAAAAAAAAACAATAATCTCCTCTGTAGATCTATAATCTCTCCCTGAGACCCAACAAAAAAGAGTGGAAATAATAGAGAACTTTAGCATAGAAATAAGTTTCTTCTTTCCATCAAAATATCTCCTATTTCTGTCTAGCCAAATGCACCACCAAATACAAAGAGGCGTAACTCTTTAAGCATCCTGAATGAGAGCCCCAATAGAGACACCTCTCTAAGCCTCAATCGACCCTCTAGAGGAACAAGGCATAACCCAATGGATCCCAAATAATCCAAGCATCAAATCCCAACAGTCCCTGGCCATGCTGCAATGTAAAAGAAGGTGATCAACTGTCTCCTTATCACATAAGCACATATAACAATGATTGACCACCACCTGATTCCTCCTCCTCAAATTATCTTGGGTTAAAATCTTACCTAAGACGGAAGTCCAAGCAAAGAAGGCTACCTTAAGGGGAGCCTTAGAACGCCAAATAGACCTTCAGGGGAAATGGTCACCAGAACTAACCGAAAGGCACCTGAAAAAGGACCTAACCTCGAAACGAACCTGTGAGTTAGGATCCCAGAGCCAACAATCCGACTCTCCAACAGTGATCACCTGGTGATACAGAACCTCCAAAAAACGAGAAACATCCTCAATCTCCCAGTCCTGAAAGTGCCTCTTAAACTGAACATCCCAAGTCAGTCTCCCATTATCAAGATGATAACAGTCAACCACCATGGCCTGTCGTTGAGAAGCAATCTTGTAGAGTTGTGGGAAAGCGAGAGCAAGAGGAAGCTCCCCACACCAAAGATCCTCTCAAAATCTGATCCTCCTACCATTCTTAATCCGAAAACGAACATGCTTGTAGAAGTCATCCCAACCCCTCTGAATGTAAGTCCAAACCCCCACCCCCCTAAGACCACGCATCTCAAGAGAGCACCACCCACCACTGCTTTCCCCAAACTTGCACGCGATAACTCTCCTCCAAAGCCAGTGCCTCTCAGTCCCATACCTCCAGAGCCATTTACCAAGGAGAGCCTTATTGAAAGGCAACAACCTCCTTAACCCTAAGCCTCCACTCCGAATAGGACGGCACACATGCTCCCACCGAACCAGATGATACTTGAACTTATCTCCTCCCCCCTCCCCCCACCCAAAGAAAGTCGCACTGCAATATCTTAATTCTTTTAGCCACTGAGGAAGGAATCTGAAAGAGAGAGATGAAATAAGTGGGGAGGCTAGAAAGGGTGCTCTTAATTAGAGTAACCCGGCCCCCCTTAGAAAGATACTGCCTTTTCCAACCCGCCAACGTCCTCTCGAATCTATCCACTACCAGATCCCAGCTCCCCACACATCTTGAAGGGGCTCCCAAAGGCAACCCTAAGTAAGAAATAGGGAAAGAGCCAGTGCAACATCTAAGAATCTGAGCAAACATCTCAATCTCAGGAACATCCCCAACAGGCACAAGAAGGCTTTTGCCAACATTCACCTTAAGACTAGAAACAACTTGGAACCAAATCAAAACGCATCTCAAATATCTCAACTGGACGCATCAGCATCACAAAGCACTAAAGTATCATCCGCAAACATCAAATGGGAAATCTCCAGTTGACTAGCAACATCCCTGCCCATCCGAAAACCTCTCAAAAAACCCAACTCCACAGCCCTCTTCAGAAATTTGCTAAGAGCCTCCATCACAAAAAGGAACAAGAATGGAGAAAGCGGATCCCCTTGTCTTAAGCCCCTCGGGCTAGAGAAAAAACCCATTGAAGCTCCATTCACAAGGACAAAAAACCGAGCACTAGAAATGTAGAAAAAAAATCCATCTCCTCCAACGGCCACCAAACCCTATCCTCTCCAATAAGTAGAGGAGGAAGCTCCAACTCACATGGTCATACGCCTTCTCGATATCCAGCTTACATAAAACACCCGGAACTCCGTTACTCAAACGGGAATCCACACATTCACTGGCAATGAGAATTGAATCCAAAATCTGACGACCTCCCACAAAAGCATTCTGAGAGTCAGAAATGACGCCATTCATAACCTTCCTCAACCTAGAGGCCAAGACTTTCGCAATCAACTTGTAAAAACATCCCACCAAACTAATAGGGCGAAAATCCCTAACATCCATTTCCTCTCCCTTCTTCGGAATAAGAGCAATAAAAGTGGCATTCAAACTTTTCTCAAAAGAGCCATGAACATGGAAGGCGTGAAAAGAGCCCATCACCTCCTCACGGATCACCTCCCAGCATTCCAAAAGGAATCTCATAGAAAAACCATCAGGACCAGGGGCTTTATCCCCATTACAGCTCTTCAAAGTAGAAAAAACTTCCTCTTTTGAAAATGGCTCTTCCAAAACAGAGCACTCCTCACTCGAAATAGAGTCCAAGTGAAGCCCATTAAGCAAAGGTCGCCAACCAGCTGGTTCAGTGAACAACTTCGAAAAGTAATCAGAAAAACCCTTACAAATCTCCTCCTCCTTGCTGAACATCTCCACATCCACCCGAATCCTCCCAATGTGGTTGCCCCTTCTGTGAGCATTGATAAGTCTATGAAAAATTTTAGTATTATTGTCGCCTTCCTTGACCCACAAAGCTCTAGACTTCTGTCTCCAAGAAATCTCCTCCATGACAGCAATCTCAGCAAACTCTGTCTGACACTCCACCCTCCTAAGCTTCAAGGGAACCGACAAAAGACCCTGACCCTTCATCTTATCAATGTCAGCAATCTCAGAGAGAATCCAATTCTTCCTCCAGGCTAGATTACCAAAAACCTCTTTGTTCTAAACTTTAAGATCATTTTTCAAAAAACGCAACTTGCCTGCCAGAGAATGACTAGGAGTGCCAACCACTCTATACCCCACCCACCAGGATCGGACTTGCTCCTGAAAACCCTCAGTCCGAAGCCACATATTCTCAAATCTAAAAAGGGACCTTCTGCTATGTAGCCCACCATAGTCCAACATCAATGGAACATGATCAGACAAAGGGCGAGCCAAAGTGGCCTGAACAACATCAGAAAACTTCTCCTCCCAATCGCTCGACAAAAGGAATCTATTAGGCCTAGCTAGTGAGCGGTTATTTCGGGCTGGAAGTAGGCCGGGCCCTACGGGCGGGCATCCCCCGTGACGCAAGCAGCCTTGTTCGCCACCACCCGACCCGAGAAGGAGAGAGAGTAGGAGGAAAATGACCACTGGACAAAGTGAAAGGCCCACCCACCAAAGGCAAATCAAACAAACGAAAAGCATCAATAAACTCTGAGAAGGACATCATGTCAGCCGTTGCCCCCTGACTAGTGACGACCTCTCAAAAGGGGAACGCACAACATTGAAATCCCCCCCGATACACCAAGGTAGCGACCATCGCTTACGAATCACCCCCAACTCCTCCCAGAGCAAATGACAAACACCATCCACCGAAGGGCCATAGGCTCTAGAAAAAAAACCCAACGAAAACCGTCCTCCACCAAAGTACGCAGGATGCCGAGAAAAGTCCAACCTGAGAATCCAACAAAGAGATCCACCGGTTATTCCACATAATCAGGATACCACCCGAAGAGCCAATCACATCTAAAGCAAACCACTCCACAAATCTCCCTCCCCACAAACTTCGAACAATCACATCCGTCATCAAGGCAATCTTGGTTTCTTGCAGACACACAACATGACCACCCGTTTTCCGAATCACCGATTTCACCACTTTCCTTCTAGCCGGGTCGTTGAGACCCCGGACATTCCAAGAAAGAATTTGTAGCTTCATAGGGAAACAGTAGAGTTGACAATCACACCCCTCCTTCCATTAGCCCTCTCCCTAGACCCCCTGTTCCTCTTTTCACTAAGAAGTACGGACAAGGATACGGGACACGGATACGACACGACACGAACACGGCGACACG